AGGGGCGGGTTCCGGCAGCTGCTCCTATGTTTAGCAATTGTGCTATTTGATTTTTTTTCCACAAAAAGCAAGCGTATTACTTATGTAATTATGTGTCACAATTAACAGCATCCAAGAGTTGGATAAAAGCAACAAAACCTAAATTGCGGTTGTTACTGGCTGGTGGGGTGATAGGTGACTTTTATTTTCTCCTTTCTGCATTTCTGCATTTCAACACGTTTCTAAAATGAGCTCAGGTTGCTTTGAGCTACAAGGAAGAGAAAACCCTTCTCCAGGCTGGAGTGAACAAGGAGGACACTGATGAGTTCGGGTGGTGGGAAGTCTAGCAAGAAGGGGACCCCCGGACAAGGCAGGGACGTGTCACTGAAGACCTGCTCTGTTTCCTCCACCTCACCTCTCTGTGGTCCCGGCATCCCACACCCCCCCTATCAAAGGCTGCTTCCTCCCATGGGCACAGCACAGCCGTCCCAGTCCTGGGAATCAGAGTGGGAACAGCAGGATCCAGACACAGAAATGGACCCTCGAGGGGAGGGTGTAGCTCAGTGGCAGAGCATATGCTTAGTATGTGTGAGGTCCTGTGTTCAATCCCCAGTCCCTTCATTAAAAATAAATAAGTGAATAAAAATTAAAATAAATTTTAAAATAAACTTAATTATCTCCCCCCACCAAAAAAATTTAATAAAAGAAAGAAGGAAAAGAAATGGGCCTTGTTTTTTGGTGTCTCCTTTTTCAAGAGTGCAGGAAATTTCCAAAAATCCCTGGCAGGCTTCCCCGAGGGTCTCAGTGGTCAGAAGTGGGTTACGTGCCCACTCCTGAACTCAGTGCCCAGGAGAAGGGATGCCTTAGGCTCACCTGGTCAACTTGCTAGAGCAGGGGCGGGGCCCCGGCAGGTGGAGGAGGGTGGGCGCCTGGACAGAGTCCGAGCCTTGGAAAGAAAGACGTGGGGAATGAATGGATGCATGGAGACAGTCTGCTGGAGTGTGTGTGATCTTTATACTTGAAAAAATGACACTGATATTTAAAATTTCTGAATTACCCTGGTGGTGGTTAGAACTGCGGTTGAAAGCTTCTATCAGGGAAGAAATTTTGCTTTGTATCAAGACTCAAATTGGGCTTGCAGTCTTTGCTGCTGGGACATGAAAATAACTGGGTTTACTGTGTCCATAATCACCCAGAACTGGAGGCAACTGAGATGTCCTTCAACAGGTGACTGGATAAACAAACTATGGTGCCTCTGTACATGGAACACTATTCTGAAATAAAAATAAATGTGCTAGCAAGCGACAAAAACGTGGGTTTAAAGAAAAAGAAAAAGAAAGGAAAAAAAAAACTCTTCCTATTATTTTTGCCAAGTTTTGGGTGCCTTTAGTCTCATTCAGCATTCTCACACTTGAACTTAATCCCTAGCTTTCAAAGTTGCAAGCTGTTTTTTTGTTGTTTTTTGTGTTTTTTGTTTTTGCCTCCATTACATCATGTGCTAAGCACTCAGGAGCCTCATTATTATAAACCTCAGAACAATGAGCCGATGGAAGAATACATGGAACACTTAGAAGTCATACAGGTGATTGCCACATGCTATTTAAAGCATTTGTGATTCGCCCCTATTCACCTGCTATGCAAGGGCCATATGGAAATATTTTAAGGCCACATACATTCCTGGTTTGCCTGCTCAGCAGAACGCCCCGGGGTGCACAGGTGTCTCCATCCATCAGGTGCCCACGCACCGCCAGTCGGAAGCTACCTGGGCATTCACGTGCCTGTTCACGGTGACACCTGGGCGTTCAGGTCTTGAACGTGGTAAGCTGGAAGAAAGAACAAAAAGGAGAAAACCTGTGAGTGAAGCAGAGAGAGGTTAATGTTCCGGAAACCCTCCTGTGAGTGTTGGGGTCAGTGTCAAGGTCACCTTCTCAGCCCTGGAAGTTACTTATGATGTGTGTCCCTTGATGTCCCCACCTGCAAAATGGGCTCTTAGGAGGATCAGGGGTGACACGTGTACAGTGTCCGGCGCCAGGCCCATAGGGTTGGCGAGCAGCAGAGGGGGCTATCATTAAACTGTAACTAAATTAAATAGGTTACCACATTCAGTTATCGTAGAGGGTGAGAGGGGCCCCCAGAAGCTGGAAGAGGCAGGCGGCATCCTCCCCTCCAGCCTCCAGAGGGAGCAGGGCTCTGCCAGCACCTCGAATTTGCCTCCAGAACCTTGACAAAACATTTCCCTTCTTTTAAGCCACCTAGTTGGTGGCAATTTGTCACAGCAGCCCTGGGAAACTTAACATATCAGCCCCGGGTGCTTCCTGAGCCTTCGTGGTAAACGTGCTGTGAACAGTTCACAGGTGTGACTCGCATCCCTGGGGGTACGGAGAGGGGTCGAGCAGGCTCCTGGTTTTCCGTCAGAGTGTTTGCACGTGGGGCACGTTGCTTGGGAGCTGCCGAGAGCCCGCTGGGGCCCTGGAAGCAGCTGCGGGTGTGACGTGGCAGGGGCACAGCCCCTGCAGGGGCCGTGGTGGGAGCAGGGCTGGCTGGCGCGCCCCTGCTGGGACCCGTGCTCACTCACGCTTCAGCGCTGGGTCCAGTGAGCTTTGTGAACCTGGGGGGTGGCGGAGACGGTGTGTCCGCTAAGCCAGATGACGGTCTCTACACACTCCCCTGATCCCTGCAAGTCCCGTTCCTAATTATAGGAAGTGGTTTACCAGGAAAGACCCCTGTATTTTTCCAGCCTGTCTCTGCTTACAGCCATTCAGGTGAGGACTGATCGGTTTCGTTTTGTTTTGTGGCTGGCGGGTATTCAAGTTTATTTATTTATTTTTAACAGAGATACTGAGGATTGAACCTAGGACTTCATGCATGCTAAGCATGTGCTTTATAAACCCTGAACTGTACCCTCCCCCCAGGACTGCTCTTTTGAACAACACTCTATTATTTTTCTGCTTGGGGGAAACTTGAGGACGGATTTGTCAAAATAATAGAGGAAGATGCTGGTAGCCAACCTTAGGGGTGGGCAGGATAATAATAATTTATGCTGAAAGAACATTCTGGAGGCAGAGCTATTTGGATGCTTGGCTGTGGGAAGTATCTGCATAGAGCCTAACGACTTACAAAGTGTTTTCACAAACATTTTCTTATCTAAGCTTAACAACCCCGAGAGAGATATTTTTCTGACATCAAATTCCATCAGCTCCAATTTAAAAAAAATTTTTTTTTCCTTTGGAAGAGAAAAATCCCAAAAGCTGCTCTGGGCTATGAGATGGCACACAGGCCATGGTGGGGAGCGATGGGAGGTGGCATCTGTGGCAGGCGTGAAATGAGCAGATGAGTGCTTCTCAGCAGGAGGTCACAGAATATTCTGGAGGCAGAGCTGTAGGGCGCCTGGCTGCGGGGTGCACCTCAAGTCAGGAAATGAACCGAAACACCCCCCACCAACGAAAGCGTTAGGGGGACAGTAGAGCTGGGGGTCTGAGGTGGTCCTCTCTTTCACCCAAGGAGAAACTGGGGGAGCTCTGGACTCTGATGGCCTGTCTGTCTGTTTCCTGTGCGGGCCGGTCTCTGCCCAGGGAACTGAAGGCGGACTCTGTCTTCCACATTGAGCTTTGGGGAAGTTGCTTTGCTAACCGGATTTGGGATGCTCTGTTCCCCTCCCCACCCAGTCCCTCCTTGTCATGTGACCTTGGGTCCGTCCCTTGTTAGCGCCAGATCCCTTCTGTGAGGCTACCCCACCTCCACCTTGCGTGACCCGTGGTGGAGAAGCCCAGAACCAGGACGCAGTGCTGACTTGCTAATCTGAGTCCCAATCTGGCCCTTGAAAGCGCCACACAGCTGCGCCAGGCTAGGAGGAGCAAGGGCAATATTCTGCGAAAGAAACAAACCCCAAAGACGTCTAATTGGGTTGCCTATTTTTATTTCTCTGAGCCAGAAGCTAAGAGACCTCAGGTCATCCTTTCTTGTCCTGAATCTCATGCACACTGCAGCAATTCTCTTAAGCTGGGCTGCTTCTCTCGGCTTGATGTCCTCGTTTGGTGACACAGGGGACAGCATGGGTGTGTGTGTGTGTGTGTGTGTGTAAGCATCACCCCCAGGATGCGTCAGCTCAGTCCCTGGGATAGAGACATGAATTTAATACGCTCAGAATAAAAGTCTAATTTAAACCTCATCACTTCAACCCAACTGATGTTCATAGGTTTCTGGAAAGCGCTGAGTGCTATGATACATAGAAGGATGAGTGGATGTGATCCCAGGACCCAAGCAACTTAGAAATTGAGGGGAGAGGCAGACCTGACTCTGCTACAATCTCATCTCAGGTGGGATGCCTCATAATACAAGTGCCCAGGGCACAGACACAGAGAAAACAGAAGAGGCGAAAGGAAGGCTTCAGGGAGGGGTTACAGCACTTACCAGCCTGTGTTTCCACTGCTTGCATGTCTATCCTATGCCGCAGGCTGCACATCTTGAAGGAAAATCTGCTTTTATAGAGTGTACCTGCCCACATTCCCGGGCTTAATATGGTGTCTGAATGAATTAAGGGGATGAATAAATGTTTGCTGAGTTAACAAAGGAATGAACAAATGAGCAGATGAAGTGGAGGGGAAGCTAAAATCATTCTGGACAAAGGAAGGATTTTTAGAAGACCCCGGATGGCAGGCTCTGAAGCTTAAATTTATTTCTGTTGTCAGTGTCAGTTTTTGAGTGACGGAGTGGGTTCGTGTGTGTGTGTGTTTTGGAAAGAGAATTTTGCCAGCAGGATGGAGTGCCTTGGAAGAGGGAAGACTTTGAGGCAGGGAAACCAATTAAGATATGGGGAGCGTTGCCTCTCCAGATTGAAATGAAATATTTTAGAAATAGGCAAGGTTGGATGATAACTTTTACAGATCCGGCTTCTTGGCCTGCAGTTTTCCCAGGTTGGGAGTGATGCCATGGTAGTTTAGCTCAAGGCCACTGGACGACTGCCAGAGCTCAGTGAAGAAACTGTGCCTGTAGGGTAACCTATATTTTTTGTACTTTTCCAGGCTGGAAACTTTGCCAGATGCCCTTGTCGGGAGAATCTGTCCTGCCTTGCCAAGCTTTTACCTTTTTTTTTTTTTTTACTACCAAATGAAAAAGTGATCTCTTTCAGACATGGAAGAGACCTGGCATGTCTCAACAGCTGACCAAGGTGGAAAGCACAAATGCCAGGTGGGTAGGGCCACCAGAGAATCAGAACAAAGTGCCACTGGGCCCCTTGGCCCAGCTGGAGTATCTCATTTACCCTGACACTTAGTAATATCAAAGGGGTCGTTCAGATTTACCTCCTGTTTCTTGTACTGTTGTGGAGACAAGGTTGGGCTCTGCAGACTAAAGTCTTAGCCAAGCCTGTCACGTGCCTCCCAGTGTCTTTCCTGCAGTGACCCTCCCCTTAATCTATAGCCCCAGTCCTCTTGGGGTCACCAAGAGACCCCGTGCTTTTCTTGAGATGATGCCCGATACTGCGCTAGGATTGACGGAGAAGGTGTGGTCGGAGGGACCGGTTCTCGTGCCCCCAGCTCAGGTTAATCCCGTCGGGGAAGAGGGAACAGGCCACAGAGGCTGTCAACGCCACATCCTGACGTCAGGCAGAGGTGGCCACAAGGGACGGCAGCTTCAGACTCAGGCTCCTTATGGGGATTCCGCTGAGCCCCTCAAAGGGACCACAGTGTCCTGCCAGGACCAGGGAATCCTCGGTCTCCACCCCTGAGGCACTTGATGAGCGGCCTTCACACAGCACCAGTCAAGACTTCCAGCCACCAAGTGAGAGGTGACGACAGATGCCTTGCAAGCTAGGGGCGCACTCAAGGTGTTTCAGATACTCTCATAACATGACCTGAGAGAGAATCTGTCTGCGGAAGAGAGCAGGTGTGCAGCTGAAGACAGGGGCACAGCAGGGTCTTTCCTGGAACACTGCTGTCCCACCAGCCCTGTCCTTTGTTCTGCTGGTTATCCCCACACGAGTGCACGCACACACACGCCTTCCGTTCGAGGAAGGACCTTTGATTCTCGGCACCCTTTCCTCCTGCTCGCTGGCTGGAGGTGGAAGATGCAGCATGATAACAGCAAAGCTGTGTCCCCGACCAGGAGACGGGAGACCGCCTGCACCCACATCCTGGTGGTTTTCCGGGAGCTGGCAGTTGCCAGTGATCACGGAGGTGCCGTTCCCGCCCTGGACTTCACTCACATGGGAAGGACGTAGGCTTCTATCTTGTCAAGGCACTTTTATGCTGTGGTTTTGATCACTGGCAACCAAACCTGATCCCAATACAGGTCCCCACTTCCCCTTCCACAGCATACTCATCCCACGCCTCACGTAGCGCCGGAAACGTAGTGAGGGCTCCGTGCACACATCTTAAAAGGACTGGATCCTTCCACCTAACTTTGCAGCACGGTGCTCAGTACAGTTTCTTATAGATTTTGGCTACCTGCCCAAGGAAACGGATTTATTTTTAATTGAAGTATAGCTGATTTACAATGTTATGTTAGTTTCTGGTGTACAGTGTAGTGATTTGGTTATATATATACACACAGACACACACATACACATATTCTTTTCCGCTATAGGTTATTATAAGAGATTGAATATAGAAAACTGATTTAAAAACCATCAAACCTACCATAACTTATGCATCTAGACAAATGTTGTTTCCTTCAATTGATTCACCCTGGGAATCTGTTCATGTATCTTAATGTCTACTTGAGACGTTTTCTTCTTTGTTTTAATTGAAGTCTAGTCAGTTTATAATGTTGTGTCAGTTTCTGGTGCACAGCATCATGTTTCAGTCACACATATACTACATATATTCCTTTTCATATTCCTTTTCATTATAGGTTACTACAAGATAATGAATATAGTTCCCTGTGCTCTACAGTAGAAACTTGCTGTTCATCTATTTTATATATAGTAGTTAGTATCTGCAAATCTCAATCTCCCAATTTATCCCTTCCCACCTTCTTCCTACACTAGTAACCATAAGTTTGTTTTCTATGTCTGTGAGTCTGTTTCTGTTTTGTAAGTGAGATCATGTGTCTTTTTTTTAGATTCCACAGAGAAGTGATATCATATGATATTTTTCTTTCTCTTTCTGGCTTACTTCACTTGGAAGAATGATCTCCAGGTCCATTCATGTTGCTGCAAATGGCATTATTTTATCAAATATCTCTTTTGTAATTATGTCTTGATTAGTCATCTTCAGTGGTGACAAACCATCCTTTTTATTAAAAATATTTTATTATAGATAACTTCAAGCATATACAAAAGTGTACAGAAGAAGTAATAAACAATTATCAACTTAGGACCAATCTTATTTCATCTAAGCCTTTATTCCTCCCTCTCTCCACCTGGACAATTTTGACTGTAATCCTAGACATCACATCAGTTACCCTAAAATATTTAAGCGTGCATTCCTAAAAAATAAGGCTTCTTTGAGAAATATTAGCTATAATACCATTATCCCATCTAAGAAATTAATAATAATTTATTAATTATTAGCAATGTTTAAACTTGTTCATAAAAATTGCTTTTACTATTTTATTAAATCAAGATGGAAATAAAATTCATGTATTGCAAGTGGTTGATACCTCAAGTCTCTTTTTTTCTTTAAAAGTTTTCATTGGAGGGAAGGCACCCTGGTGGAGGAGCTGGTTTTAGGGGTGTGGCAAGCAACCAACTTTAATAAGCAATTCTGCTCCTACTCAGAGAGTAAGCAATGGGAGGCTCCATGGAGTTCATCCTGCAACTCGCCTGACATCCATGGCAGCCTGGCCAGCAGCTGTCCCTCATCGTGGTCTGAGCCAACCACCTCGCCTTGGTTTGCAATTACAACAAAGACCTTTTAGACAATGTGGTGGAAATGGTGGGTGGGATTGAAGTGGAAGACCTGCCACGGTTGACGGCCAGAATCAGTGAAAAGCATCAAAGCTCAGGCAAGAGACCCATCACACATTCCTCCAGCTGCAGGCTTAGCAGGGAGGCTGGGAAGCCCACCGCATGGACAGTAGCAGTTCTTCAAGACTCGTGGTATTACCAACACGGAGGAAGGCGTAATGAGGATGAAAGAAAATCTTGTACAGACTGGTGTTCTAAAAGGTCTTGTTGCTCCAGGAGCTTTCATTGTAAAAGTAGGCATGGATACTTATTTATAAACCACGCCCTCTTTATGATTTTCAGTTTTTGAATGTCAAACTGTTAAAAATGCCTATTTTTTTAATGTTGATGTAGTAATGGCAGGTAGTGAATTTTACGATTTGGATTTTTCAACGATGTCCTTTCAAGTGTGGAAGACATTTTTTAATTGAAGTATAACGTATATGGAAAAAAGCATACAAAATCATAAACGTATGGCTCAATGAATTTTCCAATCTCTTTCAATCTGTAGATTGGCCCTTTCCCTATGTTTTCCTTTGAAATTTGATAAAGAATGTGTTTGTCATGCAGTATTTCCCATGATCCATACTTTGCTGATTACTTCCCCCTGGTATCATTAAACATGTTCCTTTGTTCTCTATTTCCTGTAAATTGGTGGTTGTATCTAGAGGCTTATTGGATTAGGTCAACTTTTGGTGAGACCACTTCATAGCCTGCTGCTGTTTACTGGGTTGTTTCTTTCTCCAAGCACCTTTCGAAGGCGGATGTGATTTTTACAAACAGGCAAAAGCCAGCCCTAGCTGACTTTAGTAAGCAGTGTCGGTGATCACGTTGGAGAATGACGGTTTGAGCTGAAAAACAAGGTGTGATCAAGTAATGAATAATTTTCTTGTGTGACTGGTAAACTGGCCCTGAAGGAAATTCCAAAACAGTTCCAAAAATGCGCTGTGCAGTGGCAACGTCAAATGTACAGCCACCCAGGGTGACGAACGCGAACGGAACAGTGACATTGATGGAGAAATTGTACGTTGGCTATAAAACCAGCCTCGTTGTGTGGGTGGACATACGTGCTGTCCCTTTCTAGTCATTAGCTCCTCTTGAGAACCCCTAAACGTCTCGGTGTGTATCACGCTTGTGTTTTAAAGCTTGTGCTCTTGCTGAAACGCCAGACCCACTTGGCTTAGTTCCATTGGCACAGCCTGGAAGTGTTGACAAGATGCTCTTGGCCTCCACTCAGCCCCTCCCCAGCCCGGGCGTTTGCCTCGTCTGCATTACTCGTGAGAATGTGGTCAGGGCACTGTAGCAGTCAACAAGAAATGAGGAAGCACGGGGCGCCTCCTGCGCCGACCAGACCAGGGGCAGGGCCTCAGAGCAGGCGGACAGCCGGGTTCAGGGCCTCAGGAAAGCCGGAAGGGCCCGGCTATTTTGATTCCTCGCACACTTCCCTGTTCCAAGTCAGCGGAACTCCTTCACCCACGCAGTCTGCCCCTTTCGCGTTTCGCTCGCCTCCGCCCCGCTCCTCGCAAGCCCCACCTCTCACCTTAGCCCCGCCCCGTAACGCAGAACTGGGCGGGACCAGGCGCCTTGGGCCAGGCCGGCCGTGCGTCAGGGCTGACGCTTGCTCCGAGCTCCTCCCACGCCCTCCGGCTTGTAGTTGGCGCCTGCGCAGCCCGGTCGTCACCCCTCCCCCCTCCATAGCAACTGTCGTCGCGCCCGCCTCCGCCCCCTCGGCCGCGTTC